CTCATATCACAGGTCATGCGGTGCAGGCCCTCCCTGACGTTTCCCCCCTTTGCCTGTTGCTGGCCAAGAGGTTAGACCCCCTTAGAGGGGGAATGAACAATGGGGCTGGAGAACAGCTCTTAAGCATTAAGTCCCCAGGACAATGAGGTTCCGACCCGCATCAAATCCATCTAGGCCTCAGTTGTGTTCCAGCTCCAGGCCCAGAAAAGCAGCAAAACCCAAAGCTATGCTGTGGCTGACATCGTGACCAGCTGTAGTGACCAACACCCTGGTGTTCACCAATCAGTGGAGACTAGGGCCCTGAAAGGACACACCTGGAAAGCAGGTGAATATTCTATTGAGACCCTCTCTTAGTACCTCCCCTGAAATCTCTACCTTTACCAGCCCTTAGGACAGAGGACCCAGGGGCTCTCTCTGTCTCCCTTCTCCCTCTTCCTCCCCCTAGGTGCATTACCTTCACCCTTCTTTTGCCTGTGTAATTGGTTTCCTGAGCCCATTCCTTACAGCTCACTACTTCTGCCTCAGTGACTTTCTAAATGAACTTTTTCTTATAGTCTGAATCTTGACCTTGAATTCTTTCTTAGCCAGAACTCAAGTACTGTAGGGAACTGCTTCAAAAGACATGGAAATGTAGCTCAGCACCCACATGAAAAACCAGTAGGGAGCGAGCCGGCACGCAGGACCACGCCTGTGAAGAAGTCCTCCTGTGGGAAATCAGGCCTGCATTATACCTAGGCTGCTTTGTGACTTGCTCTTGCTAAAACTCTCTCACCCTGAGTTCAGGCAGCAAATGCTTACCACATATCTTTAAAGTAACTTTCTGAAGTCTCTGCTAATTCTCCCAAGGACTGAAGTGTAACCAGACCTGTTACTCTTATTATGTCCCTTGTAGTTACAACATTTTTTCCTTGTTAATCTGTAATAAGTAATCTGTAATATTCCTTCCTCTGCTATCTGTAAAAAGTAATTACCTAAAGCAAACCTAAGTATAATGAATGAAAACCTTCTTTGATGTATGCTATTAGAAAGCCAATAAAAGCTTGTCAAGGCAAGGGTCGACACGTTCTCCCCTTGAGAAAGTAGCCATGCCGTGCCGTCCCGTCCCTTTTCCTCCACGGGACTTGATAGTCCGTGTGAATTTATCTCGTCTCATCCACAACGTCTCGGACACTGCAGGCCGGTGCCTGTGGCAAAGTACCAAGGCTGCTGCACCAAGATCCAGTCTGACTCCACCAGTCTAACGCCTGGTGCCATTCTCGCAGCCAACAACTCCACTAACCCTATCCCTCCTCCCACAGGAGTCTTTTGAGTCCTTCCTATTTTAAAGAGCCATAGAGGGCACAAGATTTGGAATCAGAAAATCAAAGTTCCTATCTCGGTCCTGCCCAACCCTGAGATATTCACCTTACCCTCTCAGTCCTGTTTTCCATCTGTAAACTGAAGGGACTAATGACTTTCACCTCAGAATGGCCAGTCCCCGTATTATTCTCCCTCACTAATCCCACTCAGAATGCCTTTCTTATTTGTTTCCAATCACATTATTATAGAGGTTTTGGAATTGCAAAGAAAATAATAATGGTGAATACATCCAAATCGCAGTATAGAATAAGGAACTTAAAGAGTAACTTGCCAGCCAGTCAATGAACGTTTTGGTTTCTGTGCTGCAGGGTAGGCCCGGGGACAGCTGGGGCACACGGTTTGCAAAGACAGCTTAACACTCATTGAATCCCCCTCTTTGCCCATCGGGATTCTAGCCACCTTTCAAAGTCAGTTTAAGTCCTCAAGTGTCCGGGAAACGTCTCCAGTCACTTCAGCCTACATTAATCATTTCCCTCTTTCAATACTGATGCTCCTGTATGTGCGTGTGTCTGTAGGGGGCGGGGGTGATGCCAAACATATTTAACAACTGGTGCTACAATGGTACCAACCAATCAGAAAGGATGTCTGACCAATCAAAACACACATGGCCAATGGGAATTGCTGGATGAACATCAGACCTACCTACCAATACCAAATAGCAACCTCAAACCCCAATACAACCTTCTCATCTGAACTTCACAATCTCATGAATTAGGAAAAATAGGTATTATCCCATTTTCTGCAAAACTAGAGGTGAAGTTGGTAATAATAACCAAATCTAATAACCCACCTGATTCTTTCACCACATATGACTTGTCCTGAATATACATGTTATCAATTAATATTGCATAAACTATACTTACATATAACAGTACATTACATGAATGCTAAGCTCAGTCAAGTGGAATTTATTTAATCAACAAGTATTTACCTAAGTGGAACAGAATATAAACACAGTGCTAGGTTCTGAGTGCATAAAGAAAATAAAAGGCATAACCCTGGCCTCCAGGTAACTATATCATGTTCAAGAGCACAGCTAAATAACAGTGTAGGACGGCAGAAATGGGCAACAGAAACTGAAGTGATATATAGTTCAGGCGAATAGAGTACAGGAAGTCAGGACTGAGAACGTCTCTCTTCACACTCCCAAAAGGGGGGAAATTAAGTATGGAGTGAAAAGGCTGCAAAGTCAGAAGTGGGAAAACAGAAATCGCTGGAATTGAGGGTTTGCAATAGTGAGAAGTGCTGGATACTCAGAGATGACCCTAATCATAAGCCTCAAACGCTGCTCTAAGTGCTGAATACAAATGGATAATCCTGTAAAACCTTTGTAGGGATGACTGAGGAAGATTAGCTTGGCAGTAGCCTACAAAAATCCTAGGAGAGAGAAACACTGGAGAGCAACTAGATGTGAGGGATGACACAGGCAGGGCTAAAGGGATGGATGCATACAAAGGAAGGAAGAGACAGACATTCAAGAGGTATTAATATAAAGAAGAGTTGGGTTTAGGCATATGTTTTCAAAGAAAAAAGTTATGAAATGGCAGAGAGGAAGCAAACAGCATTCTCACATGAGATATACACGTAGACTTGGTGGTACTAAACTGTGTACTACAGACAGGGAAGCAATGTCCCTAGAGAAATCTATGTTGAAGAGAGCAGAAACTGGGCAGCGAAATACAAAACTGATACCCAGACAATAAGGAACTGCAAGCTCTTCAAAAGGAAGCCAAATTATAAACTTAGAAAAAGCACCGAGCTTCTTCAGAATATATGAAAGGATGGACTGGAACATCGACATAACCATCAAGGGCAGGCAAACCAGTTGAGGTTGTCTGTACTTCAGTGTACTAGCACCCGAATCAACTTTGTATTACATGCATGCCCCTGGAGTCTGTAAGCTCCTCCAAAGCCTGGACTGAGCAATGTTCTGTACATCAGTTACTCCAAGACTGTTACTTGAATCCATGGAAACTTTGTGTGGCAGGCTAGGTGAAAAGAAGGAACTGTTATTTGAGTTAACAGTGGTGTGAAACTGTAATTTTTGCTTGAGGCAAAAATATATCGATTCTCTCATCTGTCCCCACATTTATCCTGCCCTCCCTCCTCCTTAGACCAATGTCAAAGATCTCCTGTTATCCTTAATGTATGTCCAAGGTGAGGGGGCTCCAGGAAAGTACTAGGAGTCAGAAAGCCAATCTGATTTTCAAACTGAAGGCAAAATCTAAAAGTGCATAATAAAGACCAATTGCTCACGAGAGGATGGAAAAAGCCAAACAGCTAAACCAGACAGTTAGGTGTAATATGAAAGGTGTAAAGGCTTTGGAAACATAGCCCTGGGTGCAAATCCTAACTTCAGCTCTTAGTAATTGCGTTGGGGGGGGGGGTACTCTCCACACCTCAGTTTTTCATGTATAAAATGGGGCAAATGCTACTGGTCCTGAGGATTCGGTTATTAGGATCAGATAATGTACTTTGGTGCACCTTTTATACCTATACATCACAGTAAGCTCTTAGTGAAGAGTAGCTCTTAGTAATAATTGGCACCCTCAGGCCTGAGTTTTTGTTTTTGAAAATATCTAGTATTTAATTTCAGAAACAGAAATGTACTTTCGCTATATTTTAGTTGCTAACACTAGGGCTTTATGGTTTAGTTTTTAGTATTTTAGTTTGGATGATAACAAAGTTTTTCACTCCTCAGTGGTAAGCAGTGGCCAAGTACCTCAGTTCTGATTTAATATTTTGGCAAAAAAAGGAAACATTCTCCCTTGAAAACCAGCTACACAGACGATTGATTCGAACTGTCACTCAAGACAAGGAACCTCACTAGCGATGTTCCTTCTAGGAAATAAAAGCCTTTCATCAATTTACAAAGCCATTTCCATTCAAACATTCCAAACCCCGTAGAGTTAACAAAAGTTCAAGTTTCCACTACGAAAACAATCTGTAGCCTTCTGGTTACTGGATTCACTTCAACACTTCCCAGACGCACGAGAGAAACATTCCGCTCGTCTTCGTACCTCCTGCTCCTCACACACAAAGCTCAGCTCCTCTTCCAAAGCTACCGCTGGCTGGAGAAGCAGTTTGCTTCGCCGGGGTCGGCCCTGCTGACCCAGGGGTCTCAACCACACATCACCCCTTCCACCCCCCGGGGAAGCCCTGGAGTCTCAAAGCTCACACCCTGCGCGGGAAGCCTCCTCCGCCCGGGGCCCCGGGAGCCTCGGGCACCAACCCACTGTGGGTGGGGTGGCCGGAACACCGCCACGCAGCGCTCTGGCTGAGGCCAGTCCCGGGCAGCCTCACAGCCCTCGCCCATTCCCTCCCCAAAGGGCAGCCCCCGATCTCCGACCACTCCGGTGACGCCTTCCCCGCGGAGTCGACAGCGGGGTCGGCCGCCTGCTGCCAGGCACATCCACCCGTGCTGGGACACACGCCCCCGCCCCGCCCTCCCTCCCCGCCCGCGGATCGCGTGGCGACCGCCCGGTCAGAAAAGCCCGGCCCCGGACCGGGCGCCGCCACCTGCGCCCCCGGCCCCGCGCCATGTTTGAGAAAGAGAAGGAGTGAGCCAGAGGCCGGGCCCGGCCCGCGCGCCCCGCAGCCTCCCGCGCGCCCCGCAGCCGCCAGCCAGCCCCGCCGCTCACCCGTCGCCCCCGGGACCAGCGTCACCGCCGCCGCCGCCGCCAGCACGAGGGGAAACAGTCGGGGACGCGGAGCAGCGGCAGCCGCTTCCATGGTCCCACGCCACAGCCTGTGGCCCGGCCCGGCCGCCGCCTCGCCTTAGCAAGCCTCGCCTCGCCCCACCTCCCCCGCCGCCGCGGCGGCCTCGCTCCGGCCCTTTGTAACTGCTCGGGGGCGTGCGTCCATTGGCTGCCGGGCTCCCGCCGGCCCCGCCTCCTGGCCGAGTGCGAGCGGCTGAGCGAGACACAGCCCGGAGCCCCGCCTGCGGGTCTGCTGGACAGCCAATCCAGAGCCGAGGGCGCCGGGCCTCTGGCCACGCCCACATACTCCCCAGAGTTCTTGCAGCCAGACCCCTGCCCCAGCCGAAGCAGCTCCGGGCTTGCTGGAGACTGCGTAGTGCCAGGGTCCAAACTATCCCGCGACCCGCAGTCCCAATACTCCCAGAGGGCCAGGGCTGATCGATGGGTGTGTCTGGATGTGAGTCGCTTTCGGAAAAAGGCTGTGGTCAGTGGACGCTCTTCTAGCCTCCTCTAGGTACTTAAGATCTGGTACTGATCCCGACACAACCCCGACACGTTCACCCAGATCCGCAGTATCAGGCAGGCTTCAACTTCCCCTCCCCAGATCCATGCCTCAACTTTCTACGACTCTGCCAAGATCCTTCCTCAGTGCCCTTCAAATACGACTCAGTCTCCTGTTTTCTCCCGCCGTCAGCGAGTACTCCCAACCTAGGCACCACCCCCAGCCAAATTCCCGGCCCAGCAATTTTCCAAATCTTGGCCTCAAATACCAGCCTCAGGCTTCAGATACTGAGATCAGACACAGCCCTGAATAGCCTCCCGCCTCCCACCGTAACTCAGAGCAGACTCAGAACAGGACTTCAAACCACACTCCTGCCCTCTCGTCCCTTTAAGATTCAGGTGGGCCAGGGAAGGTTCCCACCTCCATCTCCAGAATAGGAGGACTCCTCTTCTTAGAACGCAGCACCCTGGGGCGGAGGGGAAGCAGTCATTACTTTGAGCTGCCTCTGACAAGCCTGCACAGTAATTCTGAGGTGTCACTAGAAACCCAAATAAACTCAGCTACGTTTTCATTCTGAATTTCTAATTTACTGTGAGACTGTGAGACGCTCCACCCACCTTCCCTCTGGGACGCCAAAATGAGCTCCAGATTTGTAATTCCGCCTGTCAGACTAGTCCTCTCTTCAGACACAAACACAGCCTAGGAGGCTGTAACGTCGCACAGAGAACTTCTTTTTTTCCACAGAACCTTTTAAGGAGAAAACTTTATTTTCTGTGCGACTCGAAGATGGAATGAAAGAAACGTTGGTAGCAGGAATCAGAACCAGCCTCCAGCACTGGTTTGTAAACTACTTCTACCTGCCTGTGAAGACATCCCCTCTGAGCTGTAGAGGGGCAGGGTTGGGGGTGTGGGAGCTGGATCTGCCACCTGCCCTATTCCCTTCTTGGCTAGGACACCTACTTGAGCAAGTCCGTGAACCTTTCTAAGCCTCCATTTCTTCATCTATAAAATGAAAATAATATCTACAGCCCAAGGTTAGTGAAAGAATGTAAGGTGTGGGGGTTCCTCCAGACTCCTGACTTGCTCCTCTTCTCTGGACTGGTAAGGGCCTGGTATGCGCTGAACGACCTAACAAGGCATTGCAGCTACTGCTCAAACCAGGAACCGCCCCCTCTCTGGGGCTGCTGGAGACCACCAGCAGCAAGCTCTCCTCTTGCTCCCTGCAGCAGGCAGACCATGCCTGGAGAGACCACTTCTGGAAGGCTCCAGTTCCAATCTGCTGTCTCATGCCCAGTTTCTTCAATGGAGACTTGGTGAGCAAGTCAGGGCCTTGTGACAGCTGAAGTCTCTGGGCTGCTTTTCCACTGCTCTATTCTCAGTACCACACATAAGAGATATTTGTTGTATGAATGAATGAATGAATGAATGAGTGATTCAGCTCAGGCAAGTGACTGTGTTTCTGTCATCATTAGGTCCTTCACCTCCAAAATGAAAGTATAATAGTACCTACCCCATTTGTAAATAAAAAAAAATGAACCACATGTCTTGGGCCACTTAAGTGACATAATGCATCTGGAACAGTATCTGGAACATAGCAAATATTTAGTTAATGTCATTTCCTTTGCCCATCTCCTCTGTATGATTTTAATCAGCATTCATGTTCATGGTAATCTGTGCCTTTTCCTTACAGAGAGCCTCAGTTCATCAGTGTTAGGACATCTCCTATGACACACTTTCAGTTCCTTAACATTTTCCATGGAATTGAGTGTGTTCGTTAGGGAACTGAGGAACAGGAAAAGGAAATGAACTATTTTTAAATTTTATTTTCCTGATATTAGGAGGAAACTTCCATGAGCCACAGATCCATAAATAAACTACGTTAAAATGGAACGATAAATTATAAGTTTAAAATCATGGTTCTCGAACTATTAAATGTCTTTGAATTACCTGGGGAACTTTTAAAAATGTGGATACCTGGGAGTCAGCCCTAGAGAGTCTGCTTCAGTTCATCTGAAGCAGGTCCAGGGGTCTGCTTTTGTAATAAAGTCCCCAGATGATTCTGCTGCGGGTGCCACCAGGCCACACTTCGAAAGGCACAGTTTAGAAAGAGTGACCTTCAAGTTCACTAACTAAAAATGCACCCTTTTGAAAGAGAGAGGGTGGGAAATGGAAGAAGCTTCTGGCTTTGGAGGCCTGCCGACCCCAGCTGGATCTCTGCCATTTACTAGACCCGGGATCTGCACACACTACTTGATCTTTCTAAAATGTCTCGTCCCCCGGTGTAAAGTGGGATAATGACTCACATTTTGCTGTAAGAACTAAATGAGCTATTACACATGAAAAATCTATCATAAATGTTAATTCTCTTTACAGTCTCTGCGGGCTCTCAAAAGGGCATACAGGTGTTTACTCCAACATCTTGATTTTAAGGGGAAAAAACTGAGAACCAGTCCCCAGCTCATCAGCTGCAGAGCCAGGGTTAGGAGGCTCTCATGCCAGTGCCTTGCTCCCTGCCCAATACTACTTCTCAGTCTTTATGCCGACTACATTGTTTCTTTTTCCTTTTGGATTATCCCATTAAGTAAAATGTTTTCTTCCAAACAGAGGACAGAGCCTGACTGCCAGGTGCCTAACCTATGTCTATTCCTACATTCATTTTATAAGAGAATCCTCATTTTCTTTGGAAAGCAGTACACCTATCTAAAACTCTCAATTTCCCAGGCTTCAGCCATCTAGCGTATGGCCATGTGACAGAGTTCTGGTTAGTGAAACAGATGAAGAAATCTATCAGGTTGAGCTTGTGGGAAAGATATTGTTTTCCCCATAAAGAAGAGAGACTCATCCCCTCACCTTCTTTCTGCCTGGAACACAATTGCAATGCTTGGAGACACAGCAGCTATCTTGTGAACTTAAGGACAATGATGTCTATAACTAGAAATAATATAGGAGAAAGTCCTTGATAAATTCCTTGAGCAACTGTACCAGCTCTAAAATGCTTACCTCTGGAGTTCTTATTATATGAGAAAAATAAATGTCTTTTTTTACACTTTAGACTCTTCAATTCTAGTCATATGCTAACTATTGTTGTATATTTTATTTCTATCTTATTTTTTAGCCCACAAGATATTATTGATTTATACCATTATTATCTATTGCTAACTGTTGGTGCTCCTAACTGAATGACAAATCACCTCAAAATTTAGTGGCTTGAAGAAATAACCGTGTATTATTTCTCATGAGACCGTGGGTAGGCCGGGCAGTTTTTCTGGTCTAGGGCAATGTACACTGATGTCAGCTGAGCTCACATTGAGTCTATAGTCAGATGGAAGGTCACCTGAGAGCTGAACAGATCTATAATGGTCTAGAGCAGTTCCTCTCTGTGATTTTTCACCCTCCAGCTGGCTAACCTGGGCTTGTGAACATGACAGTTTAGGAGGGGGCCAAGGTAATGAATGGAAGTTCACAACTGGCACAACATCATGTCTGCCACATCCCTTTGGTTTGGGCATGAATTGGGTCAAGGCCAAATTGGGCCAAGGCCAACAAGTGGGGATATAGAGTCCATCTCTTGACAAAATCACATTTCAAAGGGGCATGGAGACCAGGAGAGTTAGTGTGGCCATGGCCATTTTTGCAAACAATTTTTGCCACTTTTTCTGATTTTTTTTTAGCCTCTAGACTTTCCATCTCAAATCACTTTCATTCTGCCCGAAGTATACCCTTTTGAATTCCCTTTAGTGAAAGTCAGCTAGTGGCAAACAATCCTAATTTTTATATTTAGTCCTTATTTTTGGACAGTGTTTTTGCTGGACTTAGAATTCTGGGTTGATCATTTGTTTTCTCTCAAATACTGGAGATGTCATTCCACTGTCTCTGGCTTCCATTGCTGTTTATGTGAAATCAGATATTAATCGATTTCTCCTTTGTAAACAATCTGTCTTTTCTCTGCTTTGTTAAAATAGACTTTATTTTTTAAGAAATGAAATATAAATAAATAACTTAAAATTATAAATAATAAATAAAAATATTTGTGTTTTAGGTTCACAGCAAGATAGAGCAGAAATTACAGAGTTCCCAGGTAGCCCCTGCCCTGACCCATGCACAGCTTCCCCACCCCACCAGTATCCCTGACCAGAGTGGTACACTTGTTACAATTTATGAACCTATATTGACACATCATTATCACTCAAAGTCCATAGTTTACATTAAAATTCACACATGGTATTGCCCATTCTATGGGCTCAGACAAGTGTATGACATGTATCTACCTCAATAGTATCACATAGAGTAGTTTCACTGCCCTAAAAATTCTTTGTTTTCAGCCTACTCATCCCTCCCTTTCTAACCCTTGTAAACCACTGGATTTGGTTTGTTTTTTTTTTACCATCTCCATAGTTTTGTCTTTTCCGAAATGTCATATAGTCGGAATCATACAATATACAGGCTTCTAAGATAGGCTTCTTTCACGCAGTAATATGTATTTAAATTTCCCCAATGTTTTTTCATGGCTTGATAGCTCATTTCTTTTTAGCACTCAATAATATTTCATTGTATAGATTTACTACAGCTTATCCATTCACTTACTGTAGCCCCCCTTGGTTACTTCCA